CAAAGAAAAAGGAGGGTGAGGATTACATGTTTGTAAAGGCAAGTGCCGGTGAAGAATTTGCTAGATTTGTCACCTTTTAATATAAAATTATAGGTGTACTGATAGGTGCAGTTAAATATAACTAGGGACGAATAGAGACAAAGACTGGAGGGCAGCGTAGATAGGGTTCGTACTCATGTGCTGAGAGTAGATCATCCATCATTCTGAACTCTTCGCTTGAGCAGCTCGTGAGAAGGGCATCCACCACCTCCCTGAGGTGTGTTCCCGATGGTGTGCGTGTGATTAGCACACATATGCGATAGAACGTCCTGATGGGGAGTGTGGGAAGAATGGATTTTCCATCAAAAAGGTTCTTTACTATTTTAAAAAGAACGTGACTTTGTCCTTATTTCTGTAGTGTTTCTTACTGCCTAGTCATAGTCCACCAATGACTTACAAAAGACAGCGTGCAGTCCACCAGTGGCTCACAAAGGTTAATTTCTGGTCCTACCCTCCCCAGCTGTGGTTTTATTGTAGGCAATAAAACACTGCACATTTTTTTTAAAAACTTCAGTCTCTTTCGGTATCTAGATGATGAATATGCTTTATTGTACATTATATTAGAGGCTGTTGGAGGGGACAAAAGAAGTAAAAATAAATACTGAATAAATGAATAAAGCAGTCCATATGGTCAAAGAGGTTATAATCTGGTTGGAATAGTAGAAATGAAAACATTATCACCTTCACCACCATGATTGCTACCACACCTGCACATTCGCTATGGACAGGCACCACACAAAACACTTCATATGCATTATTTCATTTCACGCTCACAGGGACCTTTTGGAGGCAGCCATTATAACCTGGTTTACAGAGAAGCAGACTGAGCCCTGGTGAGGACTCCCTCCTGGCAGCTGCTGAGTCATAACTGCAAACCCAGGTCTGACTGACTTCCCAGCCTATGACCCTTCCATCGCGACACACTCCCTTCACAGGAAAGCTCTGAAGCAAGACATGATGATTAATTGCCAACCTGATTCATCAAGACAGAATGGGCCTCCACATGGAGTAGATGTATTCTTGGCTGCTGCTGCCCTTTATTCTGGCTGCCTTTGGATTCGGCACACTAAGTTCTTGCCCTCATGTGGGATTTGTGTGGGAGCTGATTGTGGACTGTAAAGTATATAGAAGCCATGCAATGTGTGACTTGTTATTATGTGTGTTAAAACAAGAGAGAGAATAGAGGAGATGCCTTTGCTCCTTCCTGCAGGTCTGGTTTAGAGCTTTTAAATGTATTAAATTTGAGCACATTCTCTTTCCCCCTTCCAAACCTGCCATTCTAGGTAAAAATAGAAGAGTATTCCTGACATAAGTTAAGATCTTAGGGTTTCCAGGCTGAATTTGGACAGCAGTCCTTCAATTATTACCAAGACTCGACTGAGAGCCTGGTAATGTTCTCAGTACTGCACACACAAGGATGGGAAGCCATAGCTTTTGTCCTTTGCAAGCTGAGTCTCACTGGAGACAGACTGTGTTGCCAAACTTAGCAAATAACCAGTAAAGGACACCCAGTTAGAGACATACTGACACTAAAAAATTATCCTTTATCTGAAATTCAAATTTAATCAGCTGCCATGTATTTTACCTGGTCACCCTCAGCAGACATAAAGATCTACCATGCCCTACAAAAGGATGGCAGGTGTTAATGGTTGTACACACGCAGCTCCCTGACATACAAGAAGAGGATGCTTTCCCTCTCTGAGAGAGCCAAAGAAGGCTTCACATGACTGGCTGGGCTGACCTGAAGGAACTCTGCATTTGCTGGGTGATCTTGAATTTGAAAGACAGAGATGAGGGGAGGAAATTCCAGATGTAGGGAAGAGCATAGAGTCTGAGGTAATGCTTGCTGCTTGCTGTACATGCGCAATGGGAGAAAGGCAAAAATGAATATGAGGGTCAGGTAAAAAACGGCTTTGATAGAGCCCTGGCCAGTGTGGCTCAGGTGGCTGGGCGTTGTCCCAGGAACTGAAAGGTTGACGGTTCGATTCCTGGTCCGGATACACGCCTGGGTTGTTGGTTTGGTCCCCAGTCAGGATGTGTATGAAAGGCATCTGATCAATGCTTTGTTCTCACATCAGTGTTTCTCTCCCTGCCTTCCCCTCTCTCTAAAATTAAAAAAAAAAAAAGTGGGTGTGTGCTTTAGCAGAAAGGTGAATGAGTCACAACTTCATTCTGCCATCAATAGGAAACCATCTAATCAATATGTTTTATTTTTTTCATATAATCAGAGTTTATATGGCTATAAACTCCAGCTAAGTAGCGTTTCACAAATGTGGACCATGGACCAATGTTACTATGAGAGGTAATTTCAGGTAGTGATTTTGATGACTGGGGATAGTATGGGGAATGCAGATTAAATAACCATGACTCATGCAGAGGAAGGTTAATTTCTTTTTTTTCAATTTAAAAGTCAATTTTATTTTTTATGTGTACATTTAGAACTTAATAGACTTTCTTAGAGCAGTTTTAGGGTTAGAAGACATTGCACAGAAATACAGAGGGTTCTCATATTTCCACTCTTGATTCCTGTTTTACTCTCTTTCAATACTGGTTACTCAAGAAGAAAGTCTTAATTTGGTGCTATTCTAGCTTTAAAACCTCTATAGAAGTTTACCCTGTTAGTGGGGAGAGACACAGAGACTGAGAGTTAAAAGGAGGAGGAGGAAAACGAAGAAGAGGGGAGGGGAGGACAGAGGAGAGAGAGTCTTTGCGTCTTTGACTGTCCGGATACCGGGTTACTCAAAAACAAAAACTATTTTGTTTTCAGTGTGTTTATGAAGCTTTGTTTTGACAACAATACTACTTACCTTCTGTTTCATGTGTGGTGATAAAAAGATTTATTACAAAAAGATTGGTTCATGTACAAAAAGTGAATGGACTAAGTAAATGATAAGAAAAGTGCCATGAGAATGCCTAGGCTTGGGAAATTGAGGGGTGTGCTGGCCGAGGTCGCATTCTTAACTGGTTGAACTTGCCCTCCTGGCCTTTTCAGTGTTGATGAGGAGTTTCCATAGAAAAACCCATCTTTTTTTTTGGAGAATGAGTAAGGATCACACGCGTGCAGTGCCTTTTTTGGAATCCCACATGGTGCTTAAACTCTTCCTTCATCGCTTTTCTTTGAACTCTCATTCTCATCTTGATACATGTTGCTTTTCCCAAAAGCTCCAATGAGAAAGAGTCAAATGAATGCTTCCCTTGCATAAGATACCTAATGTGAAAATACTAAGTATTTGCCCTTGAACTGGATGAAATAAAAAAGTCTCAAGATTTTTTTAAATAGTAAGTATCCATGACACATCTCAAAGTTACTGGCGTCTTTCACAGGCTTTCAGGAACTTTGCTGGGAGAGCAGAATGTGTCAGCCGGGACACTTCTCTGACATCCATCTCCTAGATCAGGGTGCAAGCGTCTTAGTATGGCACCAATAAAAAGCTGGGTGGCGGCAGTAGGTTTGCTTTGAAAGCAGCTTTTCATGTGAGTTCATCATTCCTCATTTCCTCTAGCACACCTGGGTTCACATTTGGGTTAATCTACTAACTAGCTCTGTGACCTTGGGCAAGGCACTTCATCTCTGTGAACTTGCGTGTTTATAAAATGAGAGCAGTATCACCACAGGGGTGCTTGAGGATTAAGCGATACAGGGTGTGAAATTCTTGAGCCTCGTTATTTATCAACACCTGCATTCAGATGTGACTGTGGACTAAACGCCAGGTTTTTATTTACATTTCACTAGTTTTTCCACTTATGTCCATTTTCTGCTCCAGGCTCCAGTTCAGGGCCCCACACTGCATTGAGTTGTCACATCTCCTTTGTGTTCTCTGCTCTGTGCATTAGGCCGGATACCAGGGTATTAGAAATGAGTAAGAACATGCTCCATCCTCTGGGAGTGACCCAGTCTAAATGCCCTAAAGGTGGGGTATGCAAGTCAAGCTTAAACAGAGATCAACCCCGTCCCCTGCCCGCCTTCTAGAGTGTCACTCACTCTCTCACTTGTCTTGTGTGAAATGAGGGCACCAGACAGATGAGATGACGTGTAGTTTTTTTGACACTCTATTTTGTTAAACAGTGAGAGTGACTGGTGAAATTTAAGGCAAGTGTGGCATCATTGTATGTCCAACTGGACTATTTTTCTTAAATCCTTTGTGTCAGTTTTGGAATCTGACAGCCTGGGCTCTAATACAGATTCATCTGGGAAAACTTGGGCAGGTCACTACATCGCTTTGCATTTGCGTACATATGGATGAGAGTCTCTCACCGAAATTCCTTTAGCTTCATTTGTACATGACTTTGCTCTGATGAAGTAGTGTTCATAGTCTATGCATCCCTAGGATAGGCCTGGTGCTAGCATCAGACAGCACTCAGAGATCGAGGGATGAATGAGGGAAGGACTAATTGCAGGATCAGTTGAGAGCAAGAAAGGCTCTGGGAAATCAGATGTAAAATGTGTGTTGGGTGATGATAGAAGTGGAAGGGAAGGGGAAGAAAAGCTGGGTGAGGAGGTACTGGAACAAAGAGTGGGGAAGGTCTCAACTTGGTCTTGACCTCCCTCCTACGTTTGCCAGGCTTATCTTTGACTGTGCCCCATAGAAAATGACAGGGGAGTAGGACTTTAAATTTAGACTGCAGATGGTAAAATGTGGATAATAAGCAGATCTTTCTTAGTTTGTTAAAGGTGTATTCATTGCAGATGAAAGAGCTAGGTAAAGGATGTTGATATGGTTAAATAAACTATCTTCACTGGAAGGAAATGATGCAGCGAGTCCAAAAGCTTTTTAAACCTCACTCAAAGATATGTTTATTGATTAGAGATATAGAGATAGAGATAGATAGATACATATATAGAGAGACAGAAACATTGACTGGTGGTCTCTTGCATGCACCCCGACCTTTTTGTGCACAGGCCAATGCTCCAACTAACTGAGCCATCTGGCCAGGGCTGAATGCCTTCAAAAAAAAATTGTTTACTGCAAAATTTGAAAGATGAGAGAACTGTGCTTGGGAGCCAGGAGGCTGGGCACAGACATGTTCAGCTGGACCTGTGCACAAGGAAAAAGGCAGGGGCTCTCAGGAAGGGCTGTGGGCTTGCTTTGGTGAACATGGGCGTCTGTCAAGCAGACGGCTGCCTTGAAGGGCCACGGTATTTTGACTGCAGAACTGCAATAGTCCTGAGATTGAAAAACGCTTCAAAGGATTTTAACTAGCATTTCATTGTGGATCTTGGAGTTTGATCCGCCTGGGTGTGAATCCTGATGACTCCACCTCCTTTGTGGTCTTGGGCAGATCAGACTCTGAGTCTGTTTCCTTGTCTGTAAATTGTCAATGCTGAGCACCCTTTAGGGATGTTGTGAGTACATGAGATGCTGCATGTAGCAGATGGTGCAAAGAATTCAGTAAACTGTAGTTATGGTATAGAGTCCTAGAAGTACAAATTGAGATATTTTATTCTAAACCTTTCCAAATGGCTCTTGTGTGAAATGAGGGCACCAGACAGATGAGATGACGTGTAGTTTTTTTGACACTCTATTTTGTTAAACAGTGAGAGTGACTGGTGAAATTTAAGGCAAGTGTGGCATCATTGTATGTCCAACTGGACTATTTTTCTTAAATCCTTTGTGTCAGTTTTGGAATCTGACAGCCTGGGCTCTAATACAGATTCATCTGGGAAAACTTGGGCAGGTCATTATGTTGTGGCTATTTTCTCTGTAAAAATACAGGGATAAAGGTAGTGCCTTGTTTTTATGCAGTGGTGTCCTGGAGCTAAATCTTAACCAGCTCATAAGCGCCTTGAATGTATGTCTTTTCCCAGCTCCCTGTTCTATGAGGTCATGTTGGTAGCTTGAAATCTACCAAGCATTTACACTGTAGGAATTGGCAATCATTAAAAACCAGGACTTTCCTCCCCACAGGATCAGTTGTCAAGCACTTACCGGCTTTAACATTAAGTAGCCGTTTAAACATTAAACACTACTTATGGGATTGTTGCAATGATTCAATGAGGAATGAATGCAAAGGGCTTAGCATATTGCCTAGCACGTAAGTAAATAAGAACTAATATGCATAAGCTGGATAGTTGTATTTTTATTCAGTAATTTTTGTTTTAAATTGTTACTTTCTTTAAACATTTTATATTTAGTAGGGACACAATATTGTTTCCAGCCTCTTGCTTGTCTGGGATTCCCGCCACCCTCAGCTCTATCCTTATAGTAGGAGCAAAATTGTTTTTCTCCTGCCCACTGGCTAGAGTCTTCCTGATTGGTCTGGCTGGTTTCTTGAATGAGGAGATAACTTGGGAGTTATTTTAAGGGGTACTTTCCAACATGAGGACTGGGGAGTAAAGGACACCTATTAAAACAACAGGAATGATGATTCAGATGAAAAGAGAAAGGTAGAGGACAGAAACACTCGGAAATATCCTGGGCTCTGTGTGCCTATTTTAAGTGACTATAAAAAAATGCTTGGCACAGAATAGGTGCTGCATAAATATTTGTTGAATGATTAATAGATGTTGCTTTTTGCTTAAGCTAGCATGTGTTTGTTTCCTCTGTTCTATATTCTAAAGAATTCTAACAAATGGCATGGATCCTATGATAGGTCAAAATCTCAGTCATTAGTGGCCAGGGAGAGCTGGCCCTATTCTATGACGCAGAAGCTTTACTGTTCATCTTCAGGGAGCCCCATGGTGGGCACAGTTAATATGAGAAGAAGCCATCTTCTCTGAGCTCTAAATGTCTGAGCGATCTCAGTTTAAAAAAAAATACATAGGTAGAAAACAACTTTCTGGCTTTTGTTTTTGTGGGATTTTTTAAAAATGTAATTTATAAAACCGTTTGAGAAAGGAAAGGAGAGAGAAATGACACAGTTCTAGGCAGTACGCTGGAAAAGAATTTTGCACCACAAACAATGCCTTAATTGGGAAGGAGCCTCTGCATGTTTGGAGTGCACCGGGGTGATGGGATGTTTATTTGTTTCTAGGTCACTGAAGCATTCCGTCTTTGGTGACCTCTGGAAAACCTTCTCAATGACCCGATATTATTTAGCTGTTCAGGGTCTCCGTGGTGAAGGTCATAAAAAAATTGCCTAAGGAATGTGCTCAGAGTAAGTGAAAAGGACACCCTAGAAGGGGTGTCCAAACTTTTGGCGTTTCTGGGCCCCATTGGAAGAAGAAGAGTTGTCTTGGGGACACATTAAATGCACTGTGATATGTAATCACAAAAAAATCTCATAACGTTTTAAGTAAATTCACGATTTTGTGTTGGGCCGCGTTCTTGGCCAGCCTGGGCTACGTCCCGCGGGCCACAGGCTGGCGCAGCCCTGCTGAGAATGGGAACGACACAGTCTCTGAGAGATCAAGGCTTTTAAGGAATTTTGTGCTGAGATTGCAATATGAGTTTCAACCTGTAAAGCATTAGGAAGGAGCCTGATACCACATTACAATATTTGCTGGAAATAAACACACGGACAATTTGCTGTGGGCTTCTAGAGTGCCGAAAGTGTATTTTGTCTTGGAGATCAGCTTACATTAGTTCTCGAATCTTCTCTTCTAATTTCTGAGCATCAGCTCCACAAATTTCAAAAATCTGTTCACAAATACACAAAAGGGAAATATGTATTGGTTTAAATGTCGCAAAGCTGTTAAAGCTTTTAGGAGTTTTTGTTCATGCTTGTAAAATTATCCTCTGCTCATTTTCAACATCTACAGGATGTTTTAAGTATAAGTACACATTAAACACATTAAATTTGTGATGTTTTAATTGTTTGGTGCCTTTTCAAAACTGTTTATGCTAGTGTTATTCCAGGTTTGTACAATTCTCCATAATATTCCTCTACACTAAGATCTAAAACATATAATGTTGGAACTGAGGAAACCCAGTTATTGAAATGTCTGAGCTTTGATCCATGGCTATTAAGGGTTTGGTAACTCATAGACATGAGTTCCTGAATTCCAATGGCTTGTGATTGTCCATTCCCCTGACTTTTGCGCAGGAAATAGTGTTGCAATTTAATTGCTTCTAAGCAGCACGTTTTCCTCTCAAATTTTCACATCTCTGAATCAGGATGCCTTTCCTAGAGGATGGGATATTTTATTTGGAACACTTCTCTGTATTGTATAAAATAACAGTGCATCTCTCAATGAGCACCTTATATTTGATGAAATAGGAAAGTTAAAGACTTTACTATTCATTATCACTTTAGTACCAATTGTCTGAGGCAGTTGGAGAGAAAGAACCATGTGGGAAAACTGAGGCCGGGACTGGCTGAAGGCTTGAGTTTCCAGTGAGGGAGATGTCAGCAGCCAAAAAATAGTGTTTGGACTTCGGGGCCTGGGTTGGAAAAGTTTAGCACTGACTTCTGTGCTCAGTGGGCAGCAGAGAAGGAGCTATGCCCACATCGAATGATTCTGCTTCCCCAGCAGTCAGCCTGGGTGCTGCCTGTGGGCACTACGGTTCATTCTATTTCTTTAAAGTAAACCCCTGTTTTGCGACTCTGTCTTGATCCCATTTCACTTACCGGCTTGCCCATGGATCCACTTCTATAGCAGCAAATTGCTCTTTTGATTCTTGAGAATAGGGTTACCTAAGTGTGGGTGCAGAATTTCACGATTTATCTGGGCTGTCTGGTTTACAGCCATCTCTTCTATAAAAAGTTCTCTTGGCCTTGGCCTTGACCACCTGGGGAGGAGGTGTCAGGAAGGGTCTGCGAGAGTCTCTCTTGCCTAAGAGTCAGATGGCAGCTGGGTGGTGGCTCTAGGCGTGAAGAGAGTTTCATAATCCTCTGAGGCCAGAGCAGGCACCAAGACAAGGAATCCTGGCAAGGACACAGGCAGGGCTTTGCTACCTGAATGACCAGGCTTGCCAGGAAGCAGGAAAAAGATACTAAGCTTAGCTAAGAGACCAGAGTGCTAAGTCCAATGCCAGGAAGCCAGGGACCACGGTGAGGCAGCATGTCCCATAGGCTAAGAGTTGAGAGAGAGGGGAATGCTTTTAAAACGTCTTTTCACTTGGCAGCAGCATTATGTCCTAGGCAGCTCAGTCTGGTCTTAAAGGAGCTTCAACCTTTGTCTCTCACCAGTGCTGGGGTAGAATGCAGGGTGTGAGATTTCGGGGTTCCATCACAGTCTCATTCTGTCTTTTCCCACGGGTGCTGGAAGGCAGGTGTCCCTATGTCTGCAGTCCTTCTCTTGTGGCTTCTGTCTTAGATTCCTGGCCTCTACTCCTCTGCTTCAGGAACAGCTCGGCTCAAGTGAAGGAACATGTAACCCATGAGCCGAAGAGAGACACTGGCAAGGAAGGGATGGGAAATTCCCAAGGCATGTCTGTTTCCCATGACCACTGTCATGTAATTCTAGACAGTCCCCTAGACCCCCTGTGGTCTATAAGAAGATACTTTGTATATCTTTGTGGGAATAACTTTAGTGGGCCTGATTATGGCTGTTTATTTTAGGACCTCCCCTACCACCAAAGCGAATTGTGGGGCCGAAGAGAGTTTGTGGTCCCTAAAGAAGGGCTTCTCTCTCTCTGTCTCTGTCTCTGTCTGTCTCTGTCTCTCTCTCTCTCTTTTTGCACCAAGGGCTTCTCTTCTTGGAGAACACTGCCCCTCATGCAGGGATGGCACAGGCTTGGGTGGGGATGAGAAATAGGAGGGCACAGCCCTGAGGCAGATTCCCAGGGAGGGGTAATTTCTATGACCATGGAGTTATGACAGCCTATGCTGTGACACTAGGACAGCCTCCAAGGACAGCCAGAAGCCACAAGTGCAACAGGAGCCTTGGCCTCTGTGGAATTTGACTCCTCTTTCTTTTAGATACATTGATCCTCATATAGGCACCATCACCTACCCTTACATGAGCCAGGAAACCAAGAGCACATTAAAAAAATTTCATATACAGTCAGACATTGCACAAATTGTAAGCATACAGTTTGGAGAATTATTACAAAAGACAGCACATCTGCACAACCATGTCCAGATCAAGATATAGAGCTTCACCAGTACCCAGATGTCTTCTCTCCGATCATTACGCTGTGCCTAAAGGCAACCACTAATCTGGGTTTATCATCATCAATTAGTTCAGTTTTTAAACTTTTATAAATGGAATTCTACAGTAGGTATTCTGTGTCTGGATTCTTTCACTCAACATGATATTTATCTGTATAAGTGGCGGTACCTTCATTTTTCATGTTTTAAAAAAAATTACCTTCTTGCTTGACTTTAACACAATTTATCCATTTAGGCTAAGAATAATAGTGTTGCAAAGGACATGCTTCCCCATATCTCTGCGGGGACATCTTTGAGGACATATGAACACTCATTTCTGTTGGGCTCTGTTGTGTCCCTAAGGTGGGATTGCTGAGTTCAGCTTTAGTAGGAGACACCCAACAGGTTTTCAAAGTGACTGTATCAGTTTACACTCCACCAGCAGAGGACAAGCGTTCTGGTTGCTCCACATGCTTGACAACACTTGGTTCTGCCAGTCTTTTTCATGTTAGCCATTCTGTGGGCTTTAGGTGGGATTAAATTTGTCACTGAACTCATCAACTTTCCCCTGGACTTCAGCAACAGCTCCTAATTTGTTTCTCCATCTCCAGTCTTGCGTCTTTTAGGTCCTTTCTAACCCTTGAAGCTCAAAGCCAAACAAACCAAGCCAAACCAAACCAAACCAAACCAAAACAAAACAACAACAACCACTCACAATTCCAGGCATGCTATCCTTCTGTGTAAAATTCTTCAGTATTTCTTCATCATCAAATCCAAGCGTCTTATGCAGAATTCTTGATATTGTTTGTCTTGTATACATTTATGCTACTCCATACCATCAGCTCTCAACTCTAGCAACACTTTCTACATGAATTCATTTCACAAATACTTAATCAGTACCTACTATGATCCAGACAAACCAGACAAAATTCCCTCATGAAGCTCATGTTCTAGTGATAATTTAGTAATTGCATTCTATTGTTATATTATTATCAAACAATTCCTGACACATACCCATGCTATTTTATACCTCTTTGTTTCTTTCCAGCTTTCTCACTTGCTAATTAATCTCAACCATCCTCAAGATTTAACTCATGAAGCTTGTCCTGAAGTCTTCTCTGTGATCTCATAGTACCCTGTGATTTTCACTATTAAAGAGATGATTTTGTTATCTTTCTTCCCCATTAGCCGAAGAATGGGAACTGTACCTTATTTCTTCTTCCATATTTTTAGTATCTAGCCCTGAACCTTGCACCTAGGTGCTCTATGAATGGAATTAGGCCTGGAGTGAGTTGAATGAAGCTGGTTTCTTGTCACTGAAGTATGGGTTTGGGACTCTGGGTAGTGATAAGTCTCAGGTGCTAGAGGGCACACACTTCTCATGCTGTGACCTATTTTAGTCTTTCTCTGTCTAGTTTGCCAAAAGCAAATGTTATACTTGTGTCTCCTTGTCTGGCATAGGCATTGCATACAGGAGCTTAATAAATGCAGTTAATGAAGGAGGAGCAGCTTGCTGATAAGAGCTTATTTCATAAGTAGCTTCTTCTTTTTTTTTTTTTTGGAAGAGATAACATATACAAGGCAACTAGCACATTCTTTCTGCTTAAAATGTTTTCTCATTTTAACCTGACTGTTTGGCTATGTCTCTGTCAAAGGCATCCTCTACTCGGACACACTGGAGAGCAATGCTGACTTCTCTCTTCTCAATGCCTTGGTTTTCCACAGACTGCTGGCGCTTTGCTAAGGATTGCTAATGGCATTTATAAGCTCCATGTCACGGAGACATTGGGATACAAGGTGGCTGTCTATGCATAACAGAAATAGCTATGTCCAACAGTCAGTTCTTAAAAAAAGATTTTTTTTTTACTTGGACATTTTCCAATATACATAAAAATAGACTAATGAAATGAACTTCCCCATTTACCTATCACCCAGCTGCACCAAAGGTAGCATTTTTTTTTTGTTTTATCCTCTATAAAAGTCTATTACTGTTACTGGGAAAATGCAAAGAGGCTGGAGACAGTGGTCCCTTCCTAACAAAGGGACTTCTGAGAGTATAAGTTAAGGAGTCTGACTAATGATGTACTCACAGAATAATTAGAAAATGCCTTGGCCAGTTGATATGCAATGTGGTTGAGCGAACACTAACGTTATATTTGAACCAGTTGTTTAGGAAAGCTCAAAAAACTTTCAGACATCTGTGCTGAGTTAAAAACAATGACAACAACGACGATGAAATCCTGACAGCAATGGCGACAGTAACGGTACCAAAAACACCCAACCCACCAACCCATACGAGACACTTTGGGGGGATAGCTGTGGAAATGTTTGTATGACACGATGCAATCTTGTAATTTGTAATAGTACGATGTTCTTTTTCTTTACGAAGGGTTTATTTACTAAGGCAGTACGTCTTACGAATAAGATGGAAAGGATATGACGAATAAGAGAACTTTTAAAAGCACCTTACCCTTCTATTGAGAGGTGGGCAGTGTTAATTACTGCTTGTTCCTATCTTGGACGTTTCTCTGACCCTCCCCGGGGCCCATTCCTTCGCTCAGAACCATCTGCGTCACATTGCAGGTGTTTGTACACTTCCCCTCTGACTTTCACAACACCCGGGGCAGGCCTTGCAAATGTCGGCAGCTCAGTTAAGATTTTTTGAAGTTGAGCAAAAAGCAAACCAAGAAGTCAGGGCCTCTTTGAAATAGTCTGTTTCAAACAGGTTGAATTTATATGGGTGTGAATTTAAGAACAAAGCATGTAAAAGCAATCTATTATCTAATTTTTTTCCTAATCTATACTGGTTTTTTTTTTCCTCAACTCATTACAGTGGTGAAATTTCAGTAAATTACTAACTTACTTTCATTTTGGAATTCTGCCTGCATATGTTTCTTAGAGTCTGGGTGGCATAACTAATGACTAAAGTGCTTTTCTTCTTCTGTGTTAGAGACTGACACACTTTTTTGTAAAGGGGCTGATGATAATCCCTATTTTAGGCTTTGCAGGCCACGTGGTCTCTGTTGAAACTACTCAAATCTGCTATTATAGTGTGAAAGTAGCCACAGATAATGTTTAAACAAATGGGCATGGTTGTGTTCCAGTAACATTTTATTTACAAAAGCTGGTGGAGGTTTAGACTCGGCCTCTGGGCTATAGTTTGCTAACCCTTATTCTACACCATCAACTGAAGTTGCTGAGGATGCACAGGAAGCTGCCTGAGAGCTAGTTAGTTACTTAGTACAATGTGGCTTTCTGTTGAAGGGGAAAGGGGGCGTGGCTCTAACACAAGGATTCCTGTCAAGCCACACTAGAATAGGAAAAGTCATTTTGAACAGTGGCCAGAGGAAATGTCATTCTGCCCATTACTGGAAGGCTGGGATGGCACCTGAGAATGGTTTTGGAGCCGTTTTCTTCAATGGCATACACTCCTCATGTTTCCACTGGAAAGTCTGCTCAACTCTGAAGTGCTGGGACAGCAAGCTTGTTTTTTCATCCCTGACTTTCCTCCAAGCTGTATACGCCTTCCCTGACTTCTTTTCCAAGTTCAGAGGCTAAATTATCAGTGAAACCTTGACAAAGGAAAGAGCTCATGTCTATCCTCTCGCTTTGGTGGGGTGTTCTGCTGAAGGGACAGGTCTGCCTTCCTCCCACTATTCTTCTGGAAAGCACATCGAAAGTGGGCCTAAGGTCTGTTTTCCACAGACAGGTCTCAAACTCTACCACCCCCTCTTGATCTCATTTTTGGAGATCAATATTGTGAAAAGCAGCAATATCACCTTCGCTTGGTAGGTAATTTTCTCTTTTGCTGCCCCAGATCTCCCACAGGTGGGTCATCTGAAGGTTAATTTTCAAGGGATAGTAGGAAGTCTGTTGATGTGGGGACAAGCCATGCCCTTCAATTAGCTCTACTTAGCATTTCTGCTTCTTAAAATAAAGGGGATATTTGATTTTCTACTTTACTCCATGTAAGAAAAGAATTAACACAGCAGATCTGGTAGCTTACTCTTTGCATGTCTCCAAGAGAACCATGATAGAACTTTCACCAATCCCCCAGGAAGCGCGGCCCTCTGAGTATTCTTTGTGTTAGTGATTGATGATTTTATTATATGAGTCCTGTCTGGAAAAAGTCCAACCATTTTTAATATAATGAGAATATTTTGCACAACATTGATGTAATCTGGCAGCCAAGGAGAGTGGACTGCAATGCACATGTGTGAACAATGACAACTTCACTGTACTAGTCAGTTGGGCCAGTAGCTGTCTCTGAATGAGCCTGTGTACTGTGTGGCTGTGCATTCAAAATGACTGAGCAAGTAGAGCAACACATCTGCATCAAATTTTTCCTGAAGCTTGAACATTCCTCTGTGGAAACTATTGGGATGATTCGGAAGGCTGCAGCTAAGGGCAACTGGTGATTAACAGCTTCATCACGACAACATGCCCACTCATATATCATGTCTAATGCAGAGGTTTTTGGCAAAACATCAAGCCACCCAGGTGGCTCAGCCCCACTACAGTCCAGGTTTGGTGCCCTGTGACTTCTGGCTTTTCCCAAAACTAAAATCACCTTTGAAAGGGAAGAGATTTCAGACCATTGATGAGATTTAGGAAAATACAATGGGGCAGCTGATGGTGACTGGGAAAATGGTGTGAGATCCTAAGGTGCTTACTTTGAAGGGGTCTGAGGCATCATTGTCCTATGTGTTTCTTGTATCTTCTTCAATAAATATTTCTATTTTTTATATTCCATGGCTGGATATCTTCTGGACAGATCTCGTATATGCTTGGAGTGAAGGACCGCTACACAATGATTTGTCAAGTTGCTTTGTGTAAACATCAATATTGATCATGTGTACCTGGTTTTGTTTTGGGGGTCCTGAGTTTCTGCCATCATGGCTAATTGTGTAGCAATGGTGACCTAGCATGATATGTCTGTGTGACCAGTCCCCACCTAATATCCTCAGACCCTGAGACTCAAAAGGACATCCCTAAGGTAGAGACATTCTATCCCATGTCCCTAAAGTTCGTTGCTGAAGAAAGTACTGTTGTGTGTCCTTGGACAAGGAGGAACATCAGAAGTCTGTGCTGAACCTCTCTGAACTGCATTAATGCATATCTTTATCCTGCTGCTTTCTGGAGAATCACCAACTTTTCAACAATTAAAAATTTAGAGAAGAATAGGGGTGGGACTAGGGTGTAAATTCAAGGAGTGCCAGAAACTCAGAATTCAAGATAAATAATATTTTAACACATATATTTAAAAGTATTAAAAATTGATGCAAAAACCCATAATAAACACAACATCAAAAATTCAAGTAAAGACAAGTTCCTTCCATCTTATACTTGCAATATCCTGTCTCAGTTGCCTCAGCCTAATCCCTGTCCTGCAGAAAAGAGGTGCACAAGTGGTTACTGCCTTTCAGTTGCTAAAGCAGAGAGTAGCACCATTGGCAATGGTGCTAAAGGTTGCTAAACGGTGATATATGGTTGCTGCATTTTCCCCCCATCTCACTCAGTTCTTGTGTCCTCCACTCAATTAATCTTTCCTCATTTATCAGCTGCTTATGGGCTGCTATGGAACCGCTTTTAGGGATCTGCACCATTTGGTACCCTGAAGACCATGTGAGAGTTCTTATTTTCCCTTCTCATCCAGAACCCTTCTGTGCCTAACACAATCCTTTGGCACTGGGTGGATGCCATTGGGTAGGTAATTCCTGCATCCTAAGATGCCTTACCCTAAATGGATATTGTAGTTATTCAGAGAGCTTTAGAAATTTCTCATAACCGTTATTTTTAAAATTCCATTTATTTCTAAATTTTCAGGAAGTATGCAAATAGATCCTGGGACTCTACATTTTGCAGTCTGTGCCAAGTCCAGTGCTAGGGCACCTTATATATGTTTTCATGACAATCATTCAAATACACATGAATAGTCCCTATGTCACAGAGCACGTGACTGAGCCTCACAGTGGTTAAAACACATTTCTGAGGTCATCCACTAATAGGAGGCAGACCTGGGGTCCAACCTATAGCTGTCTGACTCCAGAGATAGCAGAAATTAGCTGCAGACCCTACTTTTAGAGGGTGAGCATTGGGGAGGGTGATTTTTTAGGGACCACTATCTTTCTCACTTCCCATTGTCTTATCTATTGTCCCTGCCTGACCCTTGAGGACACTGAGTTTGTGTCCCTTGCGTCCAAAGCTGTCTTTTTTTTAGTACACAAGGTTGCTGCCTACTTGGAATTCTTTTTACCTCTGTACCTATGTCAAAGAGCGTGCTTGCTAGAAATGACTTCTGTGACTTCAGCAAGAGCTCTGTGCTCCACAAGCATAAAGGCAAAATTTCCTCCTGCTTAATACGAGAGCTCAGTTCTTCTTCTGAATTATTCATTTGTGAGTAATCCATTTATTACTATCTACATACCTGTATCCTATCTCTCTTATGAGAGACTGAAGTGCATTTTATTCTATCAAAGAATGAAAGGTGGAACTGACTGCTGACAGGGGCCCATATTTAAGCAGTTGGCCAAGACTTCCTATGTCTTTGTTATTCGCCCTTCCCCTACTCTGTGGACATACACCAACTCTGATGTGGAACCAAAGGTGTTAGCCAAGGGGATCTCTTGATTGGCTTCAGAGGCTCATCAAACACCCTAGTATTATATGCACATTTCAGTATATGTGCATTTTGCTGGAGAGAGCTTATAGTCTTTATTGGCTTTTAATGGTGTACAAAGGAATGCCCATTGTACACCATGGCCATAGGTCATTGTTATACAGCTTAATGTGTTTTGGTTTTTTAATTTTGTCTATATTCTGTATATCTTGAGCTAGAATCAAGAGCAACTCAGAATAAAAAAACCTTGACAGGATGAACCCCCGTGGGGATGGTACTTAGGAGATGCCTGCAAACCAGCTAAGGGAGGCTGCGGTGTTGGAGTCGCGGAGATAATCCGGAGAGTCCGGGCAGCAATGGAAAAAGAGAAACCCAAGGGATTCCCTAAGTCTTCTGATTGAATGCAAGGGAGCAAATCATATCTTGAAGGGAAGCAAATAGTCTCCAAAGTCTGTGTTCTAGGAGGAATTAACTACAAGGCTTTTTGTACAATGTGCATTTAAAAAAGGTCTAAGGGATAATGACTCTGCCTGTGAATGGAGACCTGGAGCAGAATAGAAAGAATTCAATCAAGGTGCGGTGGACAGAATGGGTTTAGAAAGGAGAAAAGATCTTCATTTCTGAGAGAGACGAGAAGATAATCAAAGATGACACAAAGAATTTGACATGTAGTTACGGGAGGTTGAGCGTGTATATGTTAAATAGCTTTAAATTTCAAGTTAAAACTCATGAGAGGGAACAGGTAGTTTTATTTTTTGGGGGGAACATTATTCAAATCTATTGCCCAAGTGTTGTTAAAACTTGTATACATTTGTATGAGAATTTCATCATGTCTTTTTTTTTTTTTTTTTTTTTTTTTGGTAAGATTCTTTTGAATGGTTCAGCCTCAGACAGAGATAGATAATAGTGGGATCTTTCTTATGGGTTTGAACACCTCAGGTGCTCTGAATGGGGAACTTTATTATAATTCATGCATTTTTAACTCTTTGTCAATATGTAAAGCGCAGAACTAAGAACTACATTGCTAAGTATTAAAAATAAATGCAGTTGTTTGACCCATCCAGGACACTCCAGTCTTTTTTTTAGACTCCGATAGTTCTATAATCTATTTCAACTTTGCCATTTTATAGTGGAAACATACCTTCTGGGCTTGTTTGAACATCTGAAATGTTGGTATTACTCTGATGTGACAAGTTTGGGCCAACTCCTGGGGAAGAAATGAAATGGCACAAAGTCACAATTTTGGAATCCTCTCTCTGTACCAAACATGGAATTTGGTGACATTTCAGGAGGCCTGCCTAAAAACTCAAGGGCAGCTGATATTTTTAAGGTGTCCCTGCCAAGAAGTTTCTAACATATCCTCAGACCTTCCAGGAGTGTTACTATAGAAAATGTTCCCAGCATTCCTGAGCTTTCTCACCCCAGACCTCGAGAAGGGTGAGGGAGGGAGGCCAAAACAGAACGCACTGAATGACTAAATGAGCTCTATTTAAAAGGGCTGGAAAAGATTGCAGAGGGGCCCCGTGGAACCCAAGATGGAAAGAGAATATTGAAAAAAAGAAAAAAAGGAAGAAAGGAAGAGTACAGGTATCTTTATAACTTGCACTTCTTGCACTTGAGATATGGAGTGATGTAGTGGTCTAGCATGTTAAGTAAGACTTCCATGTTTCTTTTTATTTTTAAGCCTACTCTTTACTGCCCATCTTTGTGAAAAATTTGGGACAAAAAACAAACAAACAAAAAAAGTCAGCATTTCACTTGTTTTAATCTATTACAATCTGCTTTTGATGGCAGTTTTTGTTTATCTTGTTTACAGTTTAAAGAAAACTAGCCACCCACAGCATTAACAGAATTGGACTTCTCTCTATAATATACTTATCACTCATGGCCCTAAATCTCTCCCCTGCTACCTACAACATACCTATGCACATGCACTCACACATACACACACACACATACATTAAATTATAATTTCCGTGATAGCAGCAATGACGAAAACTGGTAAATTACTATTCAGAAAGAAAACTGTGCATTTTGTTTAACCTTAGAAGACAAAAAGCTACACTTAAAAAGGCAAACAATAATGTATTAGTGAAGATGTGGAGAAATCAGATGTTCATGTGTTGCTGGTGGGGATGCAAAATGGTGCAGCTGCTTTGGAAAATGGTTTGTCAGGCCCTTAAAAAGTTGAACATAGAGTACCCATGTGAGCCAACAATTCCACTCCTAGATATATACCCATGAGAAAAGAAAATGTGTTAAAGACCAGGACGGGTGAATCACATATTTTTTTTTCTTATTTTTCCTCATTATAAATAAAACAAATGTTAGGAAGAATAATTTGTAGGCACATTGTGTGTATAATAAGGCACAATTTGAGGACCCGTGGCTGATTATTTTTGGGGGATGGGGTAAGAAAGAAAGGCTCTAGGGACATGGAAGAAGGATTTCCTGGAATTTCTTGTGATGTTTAAAAAAACTCCTACCAAAAAAAAAAAGATACAGCAAGAGGAAAGTAAGATAGATTAAAATGTCTGTAATGCACTAAGTTAGAAATTGATTAAAAATCTATCACAGGGGTGAAATTCATTTTTTACCTTGAGCCCAGCTCCAACCAAGTGGTGTTGTCTGCCTCCAGCAACTCTGCTGAGCAGGTGTGTGGGGCAGAGTCCAGAGCGAGTGGTGAAGAATGTAGGGATTGATTAGTGAAGCCTGCTTTCGGATGAGGGGGGAGGGGCGGCTGGAGAGTCGCATATTTGCTGGGTTTTTTGTTTTTTGTTTTTTGAATAATACAAACCACACTAGAGCAGATGAGGGACTTTACGACAGTTTATCAGAAAGAACTGTGAAATTCTACTTGACTTTGACTATAATCACTCACTGAGACAGTGCTCTCAATGAGGTTACATTCAGATTTTATGTGCTACATGGAAAGATTTAAAACTCTTACCCGAGAATCGTCCACATCCACGTTAGCAAACACTACATTTTGGTACTGCAGAGACATTGCCTTGAAAAAGAAAAGAATAAAAATTCCCTATTAGCTTAGCGTTAATATTAAATTACACACTAAAAGTGTCTCTTGGTAAAAGCAAGAAATAAACAAAAATGTTCAAGACAGCTAAGCATCATTCTGGCCTTTCACTGTTGCCTAGAACCTGAAGCACCAAAGTATTTCAAATGTCAAATGATGCCAAGGTCAAGTAAAGGGCAATGGCAGAACCAGTCTAAAGAACCAAAATGAAAATGAGAGTTTCAAAGTTGCAAAAGGACACAAAGCAAAGGAATAATGAAATGTTTATGGCGGACCTAGACTTTGTGAGACGGAGGGAGAGAGAGCAGCTTTCTCTCTTTCTCTGGGGCGGGGGTGGGGGTTGGGGAGAGTCTGTCCTCAGTGGTCTGAAAAATACAGACCTCTGAACCAAATACCCAAATGCTGCCTTTACTTTCTCCTCTTGCCAGGCTGTTGGAGGTGGTAATGCTGCGGTGGGGAGAGGCTCTTACGGCTGAAGTGTCGTCAAATGTTTGTGCTGACTGTTAACCTCACTGCCTTCTGCGCCCACGGCCATCCTCTGTGCTCTGCTATCTGTTGCACTATGAACCTGGGTTTTCCAGATCCTTTGCCAGCTGTCTTTCAATTAGGTTCTGCCAATGGAAAACATTTGCAGAAAAGTGGAAGGTGGGAGGCAGAAAGAAACGTCATTCTCTGTCTCTGTCTTGTTCTGGGTCATGAACAAATGTTTTGTGATGTAGTCTTTCCCACAAGTCAGCTCTTTTAACACTCCTGCTCCATCCCCTGAGGTCATCTGACTCAGGCCTTAGGAACTGAAAGTGTCAGGTCACCTAGGCAGCCGCCAGCCCCACAGGTAACGCTGACAGCAAATACTAACAGTGAGTCAACACAGGTGACTATGCTCTTCACGCAGCTTTTATTAATGCAGATTCAATCAAAACCTGTAATAACCGAAAAACTCTAATAATCACTCACAAACAATCAACAATAACATCACACAAAAGAACTGAGGGATAATGAACCTGAGTCCCAAGAATCCAGGTCAGGGTCTGGGTCGGGGAGGAAGCCCATCAGTGTCTTGCAAGACGGAGACTACAGTGGCGGCTTTAGAGGCAGTGAGAGCAGAGTCGATCAGAGCAGCAGCGTGCCCTTCTCTCCCTCTCGGCGGTCTCAGCTGTCTGTTTGAAGGCCTTCGCATTCATATTGTTGTACGATGTCATGCTGCATCAGCGTTTGATGAACACGTTGTCTTGTGCCGCCTTCATAAGCACATGCTGAGTGTGTCGCTCCACTGCGCATGCTCTCAGAGTGCGGCATTACCCCTTGGATAAGCCCATGCTGTCTACCACGCTGTACTGCCCATGCATGCTCGAGGGGTTACACTGTCCCTTGGAGTCTGCTCTACTGCGCGTGCTTTAAACATGCTTTCTTAGTTGACAGGACTGATGCCATCTTAGCTCAGTCCTGCTTTCCACATTCTGGAAGCATTTTTGGCAGCAGCTGTGACAACGGTGTTAGTGATGGATGGGGCAAGGGGATAGTGGACACAGCAGCAGCAACAGCGTGTAACTGCCAGCTCCTGCTGTTGTTTTGTTTTTTTTCCAGACAGCTGTGTTCATAGTTTAAGGACACATGATAGCATATTGATTTGTTTGCTTTAACATAATATTTCAAGCATATCCAGTGACCTATTTCAAATGGGACCTCTCTCTGATGGTGGTTTAAGGCAGAGGGGCCCAAGCCCCGGGCTGTGGAGCAGTACAGGTCTGTGGCCTGTTAGGGACGGCCGCACACCAGGAGGCAGGCAGCAGACTTGCGAGTAAAGCTTCTATGGCATTGCCTCTTGAGCTTCTCCCTCTGTCCCCACCCCTGGGGAAAAATTCTCTTCCACCAAACCAGTCCCTGGTGCCGAAAAGGTTGGGGTCTGCTGGTATAAGGTATGCTGAGCTTGGCCAAGGGGAGACCGTAGGAGATGGAGCTGTCACTGAGGGCTGCACCCACGGTGGAGCAGGTTGAGTAGTGGAGACATGCACAATCCTGCTGTTGGGTTCTTTCCAGTTGTTGGCCCATGGATTGTGACCCAAGTGGAAGTTCCTTCTTTAGAGGCTCATGAAGATGGTGAAATTGGGGGAAAATTCTTAGATTATAGCCAGAAAGGCCTTTGGAGTTTTAAAGTACTTTTCTGATACAAAAGATGTTGATTTTGATCGGCAGCATCTCTGTGCCTGGCAGGAAAATGGTGTCACCCAAGAATTCCAGGGCAATTGACTTGTACTTTTCAAATTTGGAGATACATGGATGTTCCCCTGTAGGAGTCATGGGAATGACTTATGTGGACACCTGATTCCCAGGATCAGTTCTATTTATGAAGTTTTCAGAGCCTCCCAAGTCTGTCAGGAAATGTACAGGTATGTGGCAGTTTTCAATTTTCCATCTGGTAGTAGCCAGAAGACACGGTGGAGATATGATTGCTTGCTCGGCTGGAGTTCTCCTATGGGCATCATCTTCCTTCACTGTCTCCACTCCATCCACCTAGGGCCTCTCTCCCTAACCCCTAACAGTAACTGCTCTGTTCTTCCTCATATGTAATGTTAGGTTTTGGTCACCGACCCTGTTGATCTGGACTCTAAAAAGTCTCCTGAATTTATTCTTTCCTTTTTTTCTCCAGAAACCACCAAATCTCCAAAATTGAGATTATTGTTCACCTTAGGTTGCTTGCCTTCAGTCTTTCCAACCCATCCTTAAACAACACGGCCCAAAGTATTTTTCTAAAACCCACATTTGATCATGGCAAAACCCTTTTTAGAAGTCTTCTGACTGTATGGCAACTTAAGTTATTATACAAGGTCCTTCTTGATCTGGCCTCAGCTTCTTTTTTGAAGCTCCTTTGTGTACACTGTGAGTTAGCCTCAAAGACTACCTGCCTTCCCATGATCATAGCATGCAATTTCCCAACAAATTTATAACCTTTCCTTTTCCAGAAATGCTTTTTCTGCGATTCTATGCCTGGTGATCCTCTCAGCCCAGGGTCAACAAACTATGCCCTGTAAACTGAAGCCAACTCTCTACCTGGTCTCATAAATAACATTGTACTGAAACACAGCTTATCCATTTGTTTGTGTATTGCCATTGGCTGCTTTTGTGCTATAACAGCAAAGCTGAGTAGTTATGACAGAAACCATATGGCCTACAAACCTGAAAATATTGATTTTCCAGGGTTTTATAGAAAACGTTTACAATCCTGCTCTTAGCCATCAAGTGGGACTGTGGAATTTACTTGAGACTTAAAGTTTTAAATTACTTCTTAAAAACCACATTTTCTTATAATTCACCTTGTTCTTGTTGCAATGCATCATTTAGTAGAACAATTAGCATTGTTCAATGCATGCAATGCTGTGGGTTGTAAACGGATAGTTTTTGAGTGTCTAACATGTTGAGCTCTTCTTCCTCCAGTTTAACTAGCTAACTTCCATTTTACCTTCCTTCAGAGCCTAGAAAGGACCAAAGGTGAAAACTCCCTTGCAGCTATTCTGGATGCAAATTGGCTTTACCAGTAAGATGCATGCAGCAGAAGACAGAAGGCACTTTCTGTTTGTTTTTGGATGTTCCTGCTAGAAAGCAAGACTGTGAGTATTGGAAGGTGGTTGTGCTGGAGGCAGCAGCAACTGCCAGACTCAGGGATCCAGTGTCACACATCAGCTTCCTCATGTCCAGAGGCAGCTGTGGCAGCAGTGGCTTCCTGACTGGCCGATTGCTGCTCTGTTTTTTTTCCTTCCAGTTGTGGCTCCCACCTTCCCACACTTCTGATTATGGCAGAGTTAGAATCTCTGCAGATGGATCTGTGGTCTTCTGAAAGAGTTGTTCACAGCATGCTGGTTCAGAGCCCATTCATCCAGTCTTTCATGATTTTATAAGCGTTAAATTCCTTGTATTAAAATCCTTTTCTGTCTAATTTTGTTTCCATTTCCTGCTTTGATCTTGATTGATAAAGTGACGTAGAGGAAGTAAAGCCTTTCCTCCAATCTCCTTATGTACTATGAGTTTTTAAAAAATTACGCACACAATACACAAATAAATCCTCTTATAAAAGATCAAACATTACAAGAAAAATAGAACAAAACATGAACTTCTCCCATTCACAATCTTTGTTCAATTTTTATTCTCTTTCAAAGAAAAAACTGTTTGATATGCATCCTCTGCTCCTTTTTCTCTGTATATATGTATATATATATCTGTGTATATACATATGTATTTAGTTACATATATATATATACATGTGTCTCTATTTTACATAAATGGAACCATACTATATAAATTTTCTTATATTGTGCTCTTTATACTTAATACTATGCTATCTTCAAGACATATGAATCTACTTCATTCTTTTCAACATCTGAACAGTATTTCACAGTGTGGATGCACCAAAATTTACTTACAAACTATGTTTGCATTAGTCATATTCCAAGAAAAAACAGATGGCACATTGGAATTAGGATAGTTCAGGGAGTTTTGTCTCCGCAGGGCTACCTGTAACTTACAATAAAGTTAAGAATGAGGTAGAAGAGGCTGCAGGAGCCTGGATGTAGCAGCAAAGCTGTTACTACCCAAAGGGCCAAAGGTATGAAGGAAGAGGGTACCAAGCCTTAGGTTTCATTGTATTTTTTGAAATGCCTCTGGTTGGCTGTTGGAAATTGATCAGCTTTGACTCCTTAACATGTGAGTATATTTATACTCCTGAAGCTGAACTTTGGGAGCTTCTCATAAAGTTTTAAATGTCAGAATAGAGGGGCCTGTCAGATATTAAAATATTCCATCTGGATGTGCCAAGCAAGGATTTTAGGCACAGTATGGATGTTCATATGTCATGTAGCCAATTTCTCTATTTGGATCTAAGTTTATTTTACATTAAATGTCAAAGGTTGTGACTGTGGATAGAATTAATTCAGGTTGGTTTGAGAATGCAAGTCAGAAAAGCTGAAATGTTAGGAACCTCACTGAAAATAAACCAGATTATTTTCATTTGTGTAGAGAACTGAAAATTTATTTATATTTGAAGAAATAGATTTCAAAAACTGGACCATAAATGCAAAATTTCTGCACTTAAGGAGAAATGAAAAGAAAATGCCCTGAAGTTTTTCTATACCATGTTATACTGAAAATTAAAAAGTAAAATGGCAAAAACTTTTACAATAGGGCAACAGAAAAATTAAATAGATAAAAATATTGTATAGACATTAAAATTACACTCTGAAGACCTATAAAAACCTGGACAAATGTATGTGTGGAAAAAATCTGAATGTAAATATGCAATTACATTCTACTAAGTAGAATATTTTACTAAAATATTTTATAAAGTAGATCAAAGATACAAAAGGATTATGTAAGAGGTATGATTTGTTCTGATGATAGGGTTGAGGAATTTGGGGGTAGTTTATTCTTTTATATTTTAGTTGAAAGCAAGTATCATGTTTATCTGGAATCTATTCCAATATTTAGAAGTTCTGAACTCAGGAACTTTCATAAAATGTCATTATTATGAATAATCCATTCACTTGTACAATTGCCTTCTTTTGCACATCTTGATGTTCCCTGCAGAATTACCCATAGACGAGTAGTCTTCATCTTCTGGTGTATGTACTAATTAATTTGATCTTGGTATATTATCTTCAGGTTAATCAAAATGTTTCAAAAACTATGATTTCATAATGACTCATAAGTGCCAAACTTTTAAGATTTTCTGTGAAAAATATTCGGGGACTTTAAATTCCTTCTAAAACTGTAAAATAGAGACTGATGATACTTACATGAACAACAGGATAAATCCTTTTGCAAGGACCACACCATTTTGCTGAAAATTCAACCACCACGAGTTTGCATTTGGCAGCTTTCAATAATGTTCTGAATTCATCCTGAAGCCAGAACATAAATGAGGAAATGTGTATAATCACTGAAACTCATAAAGTTTTGCAAAGAATAAAATGACAGATTAGTTAACTTACTCTGTGCCTGGTATTCTCTCCCTTAGTTTTTAAAACCGCCCTGGGGAGTGGGTATTATTAGCATTATCTTCATTTTACAGATGGAAAAAATGATAACTGATATTTCCTCAGGGTCAACCAGCTGGTGAGTGGTGAATTCGATTGCTTACCTCGGCAGCCTGACTCCAGGGTCCCTTTTCCTTAACTACTGCCCAAAGTCTCTCCGGAGTTCTTTGTAGCAGTGGGGCTCAATCTCCCTCTCATGGGCCCAACTGTACCATGTGCTCCTCCTTGGACCAATCGTGAAGATGGCAGGGGGAATGGGATCACCAATTGGACCCCATTGTCAAGCAGGGCCCACCACTGGAATTAGGGAAGTGGTTGGCACACTGCTCTCTCCTAGGGGAGTCTGGACATGTACATTGCCGTTTAGTTTAGTTTCAAGCAGATGAAACTGATGGCTCAAAAAAGATATACACTGTCCCTTTACCAATTTTCCTCTAGGACAGTGATTTTCAACCAGTGTGCCACAAGAATTTTTAAAACATGCAAGACCTGACTATTTAGTCAGGGCACTGACCTTTTCTTCCTTAGATTGTCAGATAAAAAAAATGACAACGGCCAACACAACAATAGCTGTCTGGTGTGAATGAATCAAAATCATACCTATTTTTGTCAGGTAGGCAAAAAGATATATTTTTGGGTGTGCCGCAGAATTTTCGTCATTAGTTTATGTGTGCCAGGAGATGAAAAAGGTTGAGAATTGCTAATCTAGGATATGGGGCCATTAACTTGTTAGAGAGTCATGCCAAGCCTCTATTTCTCAACACCCTCCATCTTTCAGCATTTGTGAGAGTATAAAAAGCCTAGTTGGACCGATGAATCTGACTCAGCTCACTTCTCTGTAGGGAATATCCCCATAGTATGTGTATTGATGCAATATGCACCTGTGGAGGCTGGCTCTATGCCAGGTACCGGAGACATTGCCAGGGGCCAGCTGTGGACAGTAAAACAGGCAGAACATTCCCTGCCTTCATGGAGCTTATATTTTAGGGGGACAACTGATAAAATGGATGGGAAGATCAATAAGTAAAATACGTAGTATGTTAGTGATCATTGTTAATAAAGAGAAAAAGAAGAAAAATAAAGTAGGAAGAAAGGACAGAAGCTGGCTTGCAGTTGTAGTCTGGGTGGCCAAGGTCCACCTCAGTGACAAGGGGGATTTGCATAAAGACCTGGAGGAGGCAATAGGCCCTCAGGAGAGGTCTCTGAGGAGGAGATAGTGAGGGTTTCTCAGGGTCGGGCTATGACTGTGGAATTAGCAGAAATTAAAAAAAGAAGCTTTAAAAACATTGACGAATGTGTGCTATTTTGAAGCACTTCCTTATATCAGCAATTTTCAACCTTTTTCATCTCATGGCACACATAAACTAATGACGAAAATTTTGCGGCACACCAAAAAATATATATTTTTTGCCAATCTGACAAAAGAAAAAAAAACAGGTATAATTTTGATTCATTCACACTCGGCGGCCATTGTTGTTTGGCTGTTATTTATTTATTTTTATTTGACAATCTAAGGGAAAAGAGGCCAGTGCCCCTGACTGAATAGTCAGGTGTTGCATATTTTAAAAATACTTGCGGTGTACCATGGTGCTGCGGCATACCGGTTGAAATCGCTAGCTTCTATCAAGGTTACATGGCAATGCTTCCTTTCAGTGCAGTCAACCCCATTTTTGTGACCTTCTATATAGCTGCTTTGGGGAAAAATGTCAGAAGCCTAAATCCAAGGGAGCAGGCAACCCAGGCCCTATGCCCTCCCCTCCTTGGTCCACCTCCTGGCCCTCCTGTAATGGAGCCCAGATTCTAATGCCCACTCCACCCCTGAATGAGGTAGGATGTCGGCTTCTCTTTTAGAGGCAATTTTCTTCTTTATAAACATAGAATTATCCCTGGCCTATCTCTGTATTTAGATTTGTTGTGGTGGTAACATTGGGCAATGGGTTCCAAGTGGCTTTATAAAACACCACTAAAGAATTGTTGATACTACTGGCCATCATTTTTCCTCCCCCACTCCTTAGGCATGTCCCTTCTGTGCTCTTTCCCAGACTAAGACAACTACGTGGGCTCTTTTACTTCTGTAGAATTTCCCTTAGTTCAGGTAGACTCCGTGGGATCAGGTACAGAATGGGATATGGTAGGAGCTGGCCTGGACCAGCTAGAGTCAGAATAAGACACGACACGAGCATCAGGGAGGAACAAAACCCTTTTTGATTGATTTACCCTTGGCTACTCTGTCAGGGATGTTCAACATTTTGACGGCTCTGGGCCACACTGGAAGAAGAGTTGTCTTGGGCCACACATTAAAAACAGCGTCACACACAACCACAAAAAAAAATCCCATAATGTTTTAATTAAATTTATGATTTTGCGTTGGGCTGCCTTCATGGCCATCCTGAGCTGCATGCGGCCCGCAGGGACCAGGACACCCCTGCTCGACAGTGCCATCCTCAAGATACAGCGCAAAGAGCAAGAATTTTAAAATCCCCCCATTGCTACAAAGCAACGAAGGAGTCCTGGGTGGAGGAAATTATCTTAAAGTTGATCGCATCTGTTCTCAAGTTGGTCTCTTTGGAAATATTCTATGAAGCCAAATAAATACTTGCCTCATCTTTAATAACCTGCACCATGATTTACACCTGGAAATTGCTGACAAAACTCTTTTGTTGGTTCAGGTGGCTCACTGTAGCTGTCTCTTATTCATTACAGGATCTTAGCTGGAATAGAAGGGTAATTTCTCTATGATGTCATTAAACGTGACACCTCGGAACCTAGAACTTTGGCAGGCTTGGAGCAAATTTCGTTTTTATGCCACAACTGTTAGTGGAGGGGTGGCCAGCCAAGGCCAGCCAACTGTGGAATCAATAATGTCTCTGTCTCTGACCTTCTGTCACCCGCTTCCATGCACCTCACTCCTTTCCTCAGCCCCGCGGCCACCCAATAAGAAATAAGCGACATATTATTAATAGATGAAAGTTATTTTCATTTAGGATGCTGAGGGGATTATTTTTCAGTCAAGGAAATTACTAATGCCTTAATCCTATAATAGGTTTCCTGTGAATTTGGTTGTGAGGCATGGATTCCCTAAACTTTGTTACTTTGCTCTGATTATTTAATAGGTAAAGAAATTCACTTCTGCACACTGGATCAGGGGTTGGAAACTTTTTCTGGAAAGGACCCAATAATAGTTGAGGTTTTATTGACCATATTTAAGTCTTTGTTGCATAGTCTTTGTTTTTACAATCTTAAAAAAACCCATTCTTAGTTTACAAAAACAGCAGCAGTTTGCCAAATCCTGCACACAATGGTCTGTCATTTTTCAGAATTTAGTGTTTGAAAGCCCCCCAAATGGCCAATGTTCCCCCAAACTTCTTCAGAACAACAAAAATGACAACGACAAAGTGAGAAATAGCAGATTTCTGTCTTAAAGGAAAAAGAGCAAAATCCTTCTTTCTGGTTTTCCCATCCAGTCAGGTCTCCCAGGATGAATTCCCTTCCTCTCCTTTTTTTTGTATGCATTAGATAAAATATTGTATAAAGTGTGACTCTGCCTTGTACAGCCACAGATCAGGAGGGTGTCCGTAGTACATATCTCTCAGTTGCCTCCCTGCACTCAGAAGGAAATGGAGGAACACTTTCCATTAAACTTTTGTTTGGCAAATCTACTTTTCTGTTGGCAAATCTACCACACCCTCCATTGTAGAGCGGCTATGCAGTTGGAGTGGGATTAGCACAACCCTAACACCAGAGTTAGACCCTGATTACCTTAACCCAATCAGCAATTCTATCTTCAGTCTAGAAAGCAGGAAAGCCAGGGAAAGCAATTCCTAGCATTTATGGCAGGGTTACTAAAATGTTTTCTTTCTCTCTCCAGGTAGAAACAAGAAAATGCTGGCCGGCAGCTATTATAAAAAACACGCAGGAACCCAATCTTCGTTTCAGGTCAGCATTTCAGAAAGCAGTGAGGAGGCCTAGAGGAAATCTGGGTTTTTGGTAATACCTTGGTCTACCAGATTAAGCATTGCCAGAAACTCAATTTAAGCCTGGCGTGTTCATTTCCGTAATCAGTAAATTCCTTTATGGTTTAAATTGGGCTAAGTTGGCATTTCTGATATTCACCTGGAAACCATGGAGAGATCATATTATCAAAATTTCTTTGATTGGGTCTAATTGCAAGAACTATGACTTTGCATCATTACTGGTGTTTAAAATTTTTTTGCATAAGGTCCACAATAGTAGAGCAAAATCTAGCTTCAGGATCAAGAGAGTTAATTTCTGGCCTCTAATATGCCCAGGCTCAAAATATTCACTCATCCTCTGAAATACTCACCTCCCAACTGGCATTCCAGTGACCTATATTTGCTTCCAAGCCTCCTTAAATGCCTAATGTTTCTCAAGGGAAACCATGGAAGGAAATTGAGGGTTGGACTCACAAGTGTTACTTTTCTATATCATGGTATGAGAGAGGCACTAAAGTTGGACAAAACAATTGGTTTCAAATCTGAGTGTTGCTATTGTATGAGATGCTGAGCAAATTATTATTGCTTGTCTAAGCTCCTATTTCCTAACCTGGGAAATGGGGATCATGCTCACCTCATAGGGTACGGTGAGAATTAACAGACATGAGGAAGTCCAGTCAACGGTGTGCAATTTCCAGGCTGAGCCAGCAAAGGCTCCATTCCACGCATTCCATTCTGACTTTTATACTTCAGAAGGGGCTCTCTTACCTTGGAGAGAATAGAAAGCGAAAAGCAATTCAATGTGCCCCCTTCTGGCCTGGCGGAACTCTAAAGAGCAAGAGAAATACAGGTTGCAGCCTAACTGTCCACAAGCCTTGGAGGGCACACCCTGCTGGCCATACCATAGTGCTGGCCGACATTTATAAACTGGAATATTTTAGGAACAGACAAAGCCTCTTACTCATCTTGAAAAAAGTTGTAAGATCTGGCAACATGGAGCCTAGAGTTCTGTGTTGCAGGAGAACTGTCAGGCGGAGAGAGAGTGGCTCCCCTCCAGAGGCAGCATGCTTTGTCCAGTTGACCCCTGTCCCCATTGCCTCCCTTATTACTTCAAGAACTCAAGGTGAAGTGGCAAGATGCCATTTTGGTTGTGGGTGTGTAGCTATTTTACTTCTGCTAAAATAACCGACATTTGACGTGTTTCTAATGTGATTGTCCACTGTCTCCTTTAGTCTTTTTTCTTTCCCTCTGTGATGCTGTCCTTATACATATGACCTGTCTGGCTTCTACTGGCCCTTGAGTTTGAGCCCCCTGATTTTGATGCTTCTATCATCACGGCCAGGAATTTTATTGGTACTATATATTGCAGATTTATCCTTTCCTTCTCCTTTTCCCCTGTCTCTCTTTTTCATCCAGAAAGGAAAGATGGATGCTGACACATATTAAACATCTTCCAAGCGCCCAGTGGAGAATCATTGTGAAGAAGTATGGTCTTGGTTCCTGGCATCCCTTTCATTTATGTTAACTTACAAGTGTGCAGCTAGCTAAGGCGATTATCTACACAATGAGATGACTGAGGTGCAACAAGTTTGGATAACTTACCCTGGCTAGAACTCATTTAGAATTCAGGTCTGGACCACTTGTCACATCGGGAGGAAAACAGGGTCAGCTCAAATATGCGAGTCTCAGAAAAGCCATTAAGCACTGGATGAACTGAATTCAGAGTGTTTTCCTCTTTTCTCTTCACCAAGAAGACACCTACCATTTCTACCTCCCCTTTCCTTAAAAATTTAACTCTTCCTGAACCTCACTGCCTTGGGAAAGAACGTAATATGGAATTCACTCTCAGGCATGACTACCCTCTGACAAACAGACTCTTGCCATGTCCCTGGATTCCGTTGAGTGGAGCAAGGCCTTTGTCCCTGGTAGACTTTTCCAAAAAACTCCCAGCTAAGCAGCTTGCTCAGCCCAAGGGCAGGGAGAGTACAAGCTGAAGCTCACAGCAGTCTGCTTATTCCCAAGTAGAATTAAGCCCTATTAATACCCAGGAAATGGCCACATTCACAAAAATGCACATCTTTTTTATATTTTGCAGAGAGGAGAGTGCTTAGTCAGTAAGCAGGGCAAATGTCTAGTCCTGGAATAAAGCCCTGGTCAAGTATTTTCTAGAAAAGGACAACCCAGCCTTTCCTCTTTCACCTGACTGCCTTCTTTGTTTCCCTGACATGCACACACATGTATTTTCTTAGACTGATTTCTGACCTCACCATTGGATTTACGAAGCTCCAAAACAATCTGGGTGGAGTCTCTTTTTGAGAAGTCAGGGTTGAGTGTTTTGTTTTTTTTAAAGAATTAATTCAGGGGTGGAATCCTGAGAGTGGGTTGGGAATTTTAAATATTGAAAAAAAAAATCAACAAGAAAAACCAGAGAGTGAGAGGAAAAGAAGCAAAGAGAGAAAGGATGAAAAGAAAGCTGGTGAGAGGACAAGGGAGAGAGAAAGCAGAAAAGATGGGAAAGGAAGGAAAAGAAAGGAAGGAAAAGAGACAAGATGGAGAGAGCAGGATGGTGGTTACCAGACGAGAAGAGGGGTGGGGGAGGTAGAAGAGGGTAAAGGGGGGCTATATGGTGATGGAAGGAGACTTGACTTTGGGTGATGAGCACACAATACAATATACAGATGATTGTATTATAGAATTGCACACCTGAAACCTATATAATTTTATTAACCAATGTCACCCCAATAAATTTAATAAAATTAGAAAGGAAGGAAGGAAGGAAGGAAGAAAGAAAGAAAGAAAAAGAAAGAAAGAAAGGAAGGAAGGGAGGAAGGAAGGAAGAAAGAAAGAAGCTACAGGAACAACATCAACAGCAGAATAATAAATGAAAGAAGGAGGATGAGAAGGAAATTGTATACCAGGCGGATAATGGATTTATAAGTAGAACTTTCGTTATGTAGATGAGAAGGGCGAATTGTTTAGTGCTCCAAGAACTTGCTATTCAAGGTCACATAGACTTTGGCATCATCTGGGAACTTGATAGAAATGCAAAACTTCAGGCTCCATTCCAGATTCACTGACTAGGAATCTGTGTTACAAGATTCCCAAGTGACTCTTCTTTAAAAAAATATATTTTATTGATTGTGCTATTACAGTTGTCATAATTTTCTCTTTTTGCCCCCCTCTGCCTTGTATCCTCATTCCTTCCAGCAACCCCCCACCCTTAGTTCATGTCCATGGGCCATGCATATAAGTTCTTTGGCTTCTCCATTTCCTATACTATTCTTGACCCCCCTGCCCCCTGTTTATTTTGTACCTAGTAATTATGCTTCTTAATCCCTGCATCTTTTCTCCCATTTTCTCCCTTCTCCCTCCCAGCTGATAACCCTCCAAGGGATCTCCATATCCATGATTCTGTTTCTGTTCTGGTTTTTTGCTTAGTTTTTTAGATTCAGTTGTTGATAGTTGTGAATTTGTTGCCCTTTTAATGTCCATAGTTTTGATCTTCCTTTCCTTAACTAAATCCCTTAAGCATTTCATGTAATAAGGGCTTGGTGATGATGAATTCTTTTAGCTTTACCTTTTCTTGGAAGCACTTTACCTGCCTTTCCATTCTAAATGATAGCTTTGCTGGAGAGAGTAATCTAGGTTGTGGGTTCTTGCTTTTCATCATT